GTGACTATGTGGGTGACTATGTGGGTGACTTTTGTGGGTGACTATGTGGGTGACTATGTGGTTGACTATGTGGGTGACTATGTGGGTGACTATGTGGTGACTATGTGGGTGACTGTGTGGGTGACTATGTGGGTGACTATGTGGGTGACTATGTGGGTGACTATGTGGTGTGACTATGTGTGGGTGACTATGTGGGTGACTGTGTGGGTGACTATGTGGGTGACTATGTGGGTGCGGATTGACTGTGGGTGACTATGTGGGTGACTGTGTGGGTGACTATGTGGGTGACTATGTGGGTGACTATGTGGGGTGTGGATGACTGTGGGTGACATAGTGGGGTGTGGATGACTGTGGGTGACTATGTGGGGTGTGGATGACTGTGGGTGACTATGTGGGGTGTAGATGACTGTGGGTGACTATGTGGGGTGTGGATGACTGTGGGTGACTATGTGGGGTGTAGATGACTGTGGGTGACTATGTGGGGTGTGGATGACTGTGGGTGACTGTGTGGGTGACTATATGGGTGACTATGTGGGGTGCGGATGACTGTGGGTGACTGTGTGGGGTGCGGTGACTGTGGGTGACTGTGTGGGGTGCGGATGACTGTGGTGACTGTGTGGGGTGCGGATGACTGTGGGTGACTATGTGGGGTGCGGATGACTGTGTGGGTGACTATGTGGGTGACTATGTGGGTGACTATGTGGGGTGCGGATGGCTGTGGGTGACTGTGTGGGGTGCGGATGACTGTGGGTGACTGTGTGGGGTGCGGATGACTGTGGGTGACTGTGTGGGGTGCGGATGACTGTGGGTGACTGTGTGGGGTGCGAATGACTGTGGGTGACTATGTGGGGTGCGGATGACTGTGGGTGACTATGTGGGGTGCGAATGACTGTGGGTGACTATGTGGGTGCGGTGATGACTGTGGGTGACTGTGTGGGGTGCGGATGACTGTGGGTGACTGTGTGGGGGTGCGAATGACTGTGTGTGACTATGTAGGGTGCGAATGACTGTGGGTGACTATGTGGGGTGCAAATGACTGTGGGTGACTATGTGGGGTGCGGATGACTGTGGGTGACTATGTGGGGTGCGAATGACTGTGGGTGACTATGTGGGTGCGGATGACTGTGGGTGACTGTGGGGTGCGGATGACTGTGGGTGACTATGTGGGGTGCGATGACTGTGGGTGACTGTGGGGTGCGAATGACTGTGGGTGACTATGTGGGGTGCGGATGACTGTGGGTGACTATGTGGGGTGCGAATGACTGTGGGTGACTATGTGGGGTGCGGTTGACTGTGGGTGACTATGTGGGGTGCGATATGACTGTGGGTGACTATGTGGGGTGCGGATGACTGTGGGTGACTATGTGGGGTGCGAATGACTGTGGGTGACTATGTGGGGTGCGAATGACTGTGGGTGACTATGTGGGGTGCGGATGACTGTGGGTGACTGTGTGGGGTGCGGATGACTGTGGGTGACTATGTGGGGTGCGAATGACTGTGGGTGACTGTGGGGTGCGAATGACTGTGGGTGACTATGTGGGGTGCGGATGACTGTGGGTGACTATGTGGGGTGCGAATGACTGTGGGTGACTATGTGGGGTGCGGATGACTGTGGGTGACTATGTGGGGTGCGAATGACTGTGGGTGACTATGTGGGGTGCGGATGACTGTGGGTGACTATGTGGGGTGCGAATGACTGTGGGTGACTATGTGGGGTGCGAATGACTGTGGGTGACTATGTGGGGTGCGGATGACTGTGGGTGACTATGTGGGGTGCGAATGACTGTGGGTGACTATGTGGGGTGCGGATGACTGTGGGTGACTATGTGGGGTGCGAATGACTGTGGGATGACTATGTGGGGTGCGGATGACTGTGGGTGACTATGTGGGGTGCGGATGACTGTGGGTGACTATGTGGGGTGCGGATGACTGTGGGGGACTATGTGGGGTGCGAATGACTGTGGGTGACTATGTGGGGTGCGGATGACTGTGATGTGACTATGTGGGGTGCGGATGACTGTGGGTGACTATGTGGGGTGCGGATGACTGTGGGTGACTATGTGGGGTGCGGATGACTGTGGGTGACTATGTGGGGTGCGGATGACTGTGGGTGACTATGTGGGGTGCGGATGACTGTGGGTGACTATGTGGGGGTGCGGATGGACTGTGGGTGACTATGTGGGGTGCGGATGACTGTGGGTGACTATGTGGGGTGCGGATGACTGTGGGTGACTATGTGGGGTGCGGATAACTGTGGGTGACTATGTGGGGTGCAGATGACTGTGGGTGACTATGTGGGGTGCGGATGACTGTGGATGACTATGTGGGGTGCGGTATAACTGTGGGTGAACTATGTGGGGTGCGGATGACTGTGGGTGACTATGTGGGTGTGCGGATGACTGTGGGTGACTATGTGGGGTGCGGATGACTGTGGGTGACTATGTGGGGTGCGGATAACTGTGGGTGACTATGTGGGGTGCAGATGACTGTGGGTGACTATGTGGGGTGTGGATGACTGTGGGTGACTATGTGGGGTGCGAATGACTGTGGGTGACTATGTGGGGTGCGGATGACTGTGGGTGACTATGTGGGGTGCGGATGACTGTGGGTGACTATGTGGGGTGCGAATGACTGTGGGTGACTATGTGGGGTGCGGATGACTGTGGGTGACTATGTGGGGTGCGGATGACTGTGGGTGACTGGGGTAGTGAATGAATGTGTGGGGTGTGCGGATGACTGTGGGTGACTATATGGGGTGTGAATGAATGTGTGGGGTGTGGGTGACTGTGGGAGTGTGGGTGATTGTGTGGGAGTGGGTGACTGTGTGTTGTGGGTGACTGTGTGGAGTGTGAGTGACTGTGTGGGGTGTGGGTGACTATGTGGGTGTGTGAATAACTGTGTGGGTGACTATATGGGGTGTGAGTCTAAGATTGGAAATGATGGCTTAGTAGTGGGAATAAAATATTTTGAGTGGAAATAAAAGCTTAAGAGTGGGAATAAAAGCTTAGGAGTGGGAATAGAAGGTTGGGAGTGGGAATAAAAGCTTAGGAGTGGGACTAGAAGGATGGGAGTGGAAATAAAAGCTTAGGGGGATGACAAGTGACAAGTGAGAGCATGTCTTTTAATATTCTCCCACGGTAGATATACTCTCCACGCCGGGTATACTTCCCACGGTGGATGTATCTCTCGCTTGCTTCCCATCACTCATCCTTCCCACTTGGTTAGGCAATCCTGCAATAATGATCATGCAATCTAAGATGTCCGGTTTACAATCTGTAGTAGAGATTGTTTCTGTAGTGTGTTAAGTATGTGTCACAGGTCGTGTCTACAGTGTATGTGTTGTGTATGTGTCACAGGTCGTGTCTACAGTGTATGTGTTGTGTATGTGTCACAGGTCGTGTCTACAGTGTATGTGTTGTGTATGTGTCACAGGTCGTGTCTACAGTGTATGCGCTGTGTATGTGTCACAGAGGTCGTGCCTTGGATGTGTTGTGTTATTTTTTAGTATATATCAGTATAAAATGTTTCAGTTATAATGTACCTGGGCAGAGAAATAATGACTCATTAACAGCGTTATAATGAAAAAAATATCATAGTGAGAATATTAATATTTATTCTCTAACTTCTACATTAACGTAATAAATTATTCCAGTTTTCACGCAATAATTTGTAAGTTCATTCAATAAAGTTAAAGTAATTCACTTGCTGTTATCCGAGACTTTTTCCTTCTGATGTACAGAGTCAAGACCATATTGCGGAACGGTAAACCCGTGCGAGTTGCTCAGCACAAGGAGTGGTGGAGGCTCGATACTCCGTCGTTACCTGGAGGTTACCTGGAGGTTATTCCGGGGATCAACGCCCCCGCGGCCCGGTCCACGACCAGGCCTCCCGATGGATCAGGGCCTGATCAACTAGGCTGTTACTGCTGGCCGCACGCAGTCCGACGTACGAGCCACAGCCCGGCTGATCCGGCACTGACTTTAGGTATCTGTCCAGCTCTCTCTTGAAGGCAGCCAGGGGTTTATTGGTAATTCCCCTAATGCTTGGTGGGAGGCTGTTGAACAGTTTTGGGCCCCGGACACTTATGGTGTTTTCTCTTAGTGTACCAATGGCGTTATCATGAGATTTAAACCCAGCTCTCGCAGCCAGGCTTCCTCTCGTTCATATCGTAACGTAGTGGAGGGTAAATTTGGTATTTTTCTCTTTCAATCTTTTGAAATTTGTCTTTTTTCCTCTTCATGTCCAGTAGTTTGCAAAAAAAGAGAAAGGTCACATACCAGTCAGTGTTCTTCAAGAAATTTTATTTTCTTCCTATCTTACTCTCTCCTTAAGTCATTCTACCTTTCTGTCAACATATCTTTATCTCAGTAAATACAAAGTCCAAACTGTGACTCATATTATGTCTAAGTTCTTGTGCTGAGATGAAAATGTTTAAGAATCGGGGAAACTTATTTACTTATCTAGATTTTGAAGTTTGGTACATAGATAATACAAAACGAATAAACGACTAGATTTTGGATTTGAATATAAAGACACATGTTTGTCATCTGGTTAGATTCAAGTTCAAAGTTCAAAGTTTATTCTCTATAAGGATTACAATGCTGAGTTTAAAGCCTATCGACTAGACCAGGGTAATGAAGGCTGCATGTAACTTGTTCATCAACAGGTAAAGAATTCTTTAGCCATTTAAGTTAAGATTAAAGTATACTCTCAGAGTATATTCACTGAGATACATACAATTCCGTGTATATGCTCTGTGCGCCTTATCCTCCGGTTCTCCTAGTAATTAATATTACTTTTAACCCAAATTTTTTCCTCCTCGTAATTTTTAAGTCTTAAATGACGTTAATAAAGATCTTTGTTAAAGCAGAATCAATGTTTTCTTCCTAACTATTGAAACGTAAGTTTTGTATTGTTAGTTCCAATGAATTAAAATAAGTATGATGAAGTGTTTTCCACCGCAGCGACCCCTGGCAGCTGCCCAGCAGCCGGGCGCACGTAGCCACGTACTTATATAAACCACAGTGGGATGAAATTTGACGCCAGATCTTTAGCATCCTTCTCTCTCCTGCACACCGCTGTGCCCTCCGCTCATCATGGCCTTAGTATATGTGGTAAGTTAATTGTATCTGGGCATACAAGGGATTCAAGTCCTGAAGAAAGTCCATTATCTAATTAAGATTATTTATTACTTGATTGACGACGAGCCGTGTGAATACAACTTAAATAAACAGTAATGACGGCATTATACACATTAACTAAGGATTTGTTATCTGCGTCGGTGTAATTATTGATGGTTTCATGTTAGCTAACACGTGAAGATGGAACGACTTCGAAGTACCTCCCCAGCATACCTTAGTCATTCACTCGCTCTTCAGTGAGCCTTGGTTACACTGTTTATATTACCTTGTCAATACATTTATCTCTATAAGGATCTCAAATCACATAAATGACCTCAATAAAAATCAGTGACACACGGTGACTTGGCACTCAGACCTGGCCCTCAGAGTAATCTCTTTTTAAGTTTCCCACCACCCCGCGAGTAACGCCAAGGCTCTAACCTGACACGAAGTCATGTTGATTCGTATTTTCCTTCATTTCGTATCACCGCGAGTGTATAAAATTTTGGTGAAAAACTCTTAGCCCATGATGAGCAGTAGTGCTATTATATCTTTATATTGTACAATACTCTTGAATCTTTTTTCTGAAAGACACGAAAGCATTATTGAGAAAAAAAGAGTGAGAGTGGTATTTGATGGACAATACTAATATTAAAAGATAGATTGTCGATTAAAAAAATGGCTTCTTGGCTCATGTGATGTTTGAATAATTGTAGAAACGCGATCTAGAAGGCTGATTAAATTATATTTTATTGACATTAACAGCGTTAACAATAAAAATTATAATTTTAAGCATATTGTAAGCATATAATTGTATAATACAATGTCGGTAATAATGCTTTAGTATATGTCGTTATCTGAGCGTTTGAGGGCTACAGAGAGGCATAATATATTTATGATGTTTTATAATAAATTGTTAAGTTTCATGTACATGGAGTATATTGGAAAGACAGATTACACAGGACTTGATAGTCCACTCCGAAACTGCCTGCTGAGAATTATACTTTTATCGCGGTGAAGAACTATTGTGTATTATCTCACATTAAATGTTTGCTTACTGACTGTAGGTTGTGAGCTTGGTGTTGACGAGGTCACTGTGTTAGCGTTATGATGTTCCAGGTCGCAACGTTGCTGGTAGGTGCGGTGGCAGGAGTTGCTGAACCGGATGCTGCAATTATCTCCCACCGTGGATCTGCATTCTTCCCGACTACCAAGCCCCGCCAAGCCTTGGGCTTCGTCCCGGCCTACCATCCCTCACCCTTCGTCACTCCGGCCTACGGAGCTATTCCTCCCTATCATGCCGTCACTCCGGCCTATGGAGGCATCCCCCCTCCTTTCCATGCCTACCCACCTTCTTCATACCACGCTGCCTTTAAGTGTCGTGGATACGACAAGGTCCCTGCTTGTTTTCACAACACGACCAAGCCCTGGTGCCTCTACGACCATGAATACCCTGAATATGAGATCAAGGACGCTCTGCGTTACCATAAAACTGGTGTTCTGCCCTTGTACGCTGATGTGGTCGACCTTGGCACCGCCAGCTCCACTGACCGTCCTCTCCACTTGGATGAAGAGAGTTATCTCTGTCCCTATGAAACCAGCTACATTAGGCCTCTTAGAGCCATTAATACCGACGGTCAGTGGAGGATTATCGTCAACAATATCCACGTGAGTTTTTAAACATTAATAACAGTCTTTATTTTGCCTTTAATAAATCAGATATCTCAAAAGTCTTCAGTAACCTTTCTGTCATAACTTCCTCAGAAAGCGTCCTCTAGAACCTTTCCGTCATAACTTTTTAGACATCAAAAATCTATCAAAGGTCTTCAACAATTATTAGGTTATAACTTGTTATAAGACAAGTATTTTCTTTACTTTTCAACTTAGTTCTGCAGGTCCAAAATACTTATCAGCCATTAAGTTGCACAGCTGCTTCAAACTGACACTATCGTTTCATCAAATTATATAAATTTTTACCATTTATATTTTCCGTTATAAATTTTCTGAGTATTCCTTTAAAATACGTCACCATTCTGAGTAATTTACTGTTTGCAAAAGCTGAAACAACAGCATCACTTTCATTAACTTTGCTAGAATCTTTACTTCTGAGAGTGTAGGTGAAAGTCATTTTGCATTCACATGTATAAAAATGGAAACATGTTCTTTGAAACAGTCAAAATCTTCAGGAATATCGCTGAAGAAAAAAACTCACACATCTGAATGATCATTCTCAATCTTGTCTCATGTAGTTCTCATTCAGCAACGCCTCTGAGTCACCATTTATCACTTACGTCTCATTCATTCCTTAATCAGTAATTATAACGAGTGTACCTGATATTGTACAACTCTAACCCACTGTTACATATCACATAGCATGCAA